GTCAAGAACTAGTTGATAGCAAAGGAAAAGAATAATAAATTTTGTAAAAATTCATGAAGCTATCAATTTCCAATCACTCACCACATACATATATATAGTTACCATTTTATCATTAAATAAGGTCGTTTAAATATAAATAAAATCTTTCAAAAAGTATTTAGAATTGAAATAAAAGAATTTACTTTTATCATTTTAAAGTTAAAAGTATAATTTTTTTAACTAGCTCCAATATAATACACGTATGTTATACGAGCAACATCGTTGGCAAGCTCCATCGAATTATTTGGACAAAGGCCATACCCAATGGGCTCGGAATCTATTTGGGCTGCCAATGGAAGTCACTTACATCAGAAAAAAATTAATAATGGGCTTGGAGAACTGACTCTGGTGTAGTAAATTTGGGCCGAACAACCTCCTCCTTTCATTTCACCAATAAAAAGCCTAGCCGACCAAAACCCGTGTTTTGTTTGGGTAAATTCTATTATAGGGCCTCATTTTTAGGTATTGTGTCAAAATAAGGCTTGAATTTTTAACTTTTTTATTTGAGGACTTGAATTTTAAGTTATTCTCCATAAAAGGCTTACTTTTACATTCTAATTCTCAATTTAAGACTCTAACAAACTTTATATTTTTACATAAATATATAATCCAAATACTATTATTTAAATATTTATATTTTAAATAATTATAAATGTATTTAGTAAAATCACTTTAGTATACTTTTCTAAATAGTTTATTATTTTATTTTATCACATATTTAGATTAAATTAAGTTAAAATTTATTTTTTAACTTTTAAAATAACTTTCATTAAGATTTTGTATAAATGTAATTTATGAAATAGTTATATTTTTGGGTAATTTCACTATGATATTTAATATTTCTTTATTATATGTACTTAAAAAATAAATTTTAAAAATAGTATTATGTTTTACATAATTTTGTTAAAATAAAAAAAATTTAGAGACTTAAATTGAAAAGTAGAATGTAAAAGTAGGCCTTATATTGAGAATAATTTAAAAATGAAACCCTCAAATGAAAAGGTTAAAAATATAGGCCCTATTATGACACAATATCTAAAAACGAGGTCCTACAATAGAATTTCCCCGTTTTGTTTAGGTGCAGGACTTTTCGGTTTCTAGATCCACAGGGAACCGACTAATTCGGAATCGAGTCGAGTAGGACTACAAGGGCGGCAAAGCTCTCCCTCAAGAGTTTTAACACTGTTGCATTCTCAGGGCTCGAACACGAGACCACTAGCTAAGCTGGAAGAGACCCAAACCATCTCATCCAAGTAGTCTTGGATAAAAAACCGTGTTTTAAAATCAAAACCACCCTTCACAAGCCGCTAGGGTTTTTCCGTCTCCGCGTTCATGAGGTGCCTCCCTCGTTCTCTCGTATCCGATTCTTTCTGCTTGTCTGTAAGATATCTGTGGATCTATCATTCTTACGTGTGATTGATTTTCTTTTTTCGTAAATTTTCATTCCTAGGAGTCGTGAACTATTGATTACTCAAAATGTCTCGAGTTTATGTTTGGAATCTTGATCCACGAGTAAGCGAACGTGATCTTGAGGATGAATTTCGTGTGTTCGGAGTTATCAGAAGGTATTTTTTTTGATTTGTTGGGTTTTTTTTTTTTTTTTTTTTTTTTTTTTTTTCCAGATCTTGATTTAATTAAAATAAAAATGTAGAAAATTTTCAATTTTCATTGTAGTTGCTATTGGTTTAAAGGGTGGTTGTTCTGCAAATTATCTTTGTCTGTTCCACTTGGATAAATGTGTTGTATTTATTTCTTTTACCTGAATTGATGTGCAGTGTTTGGGTTGCAAGGAGGCCCCCTGATGTGTAGTCATGTAATAGGGACAGTTCATGTAGTTGGGCAACCTTATGCCATTCTAAATTTCTATTATTGGACAGGACTGGACATTCTTGCTAATGCAAAACGTTTGGAGGCAAAGGTTGATGGTTCGTTTAAGGTTCCGAAGGATAGAGTTTCATCCATTGCAGCATCTCTTGGTGAAGATGAGGAGAAGACTTCATCAGGAATTGATGAAGTAGACACTGACACATCGAAAACTCTACGCAGCAGTAATAAGAGGCGATATCGTGAACTGGCTTCAAATTCAGGTACTATATCGTTTCGTAGTATAGCAACAGTTGACACAAGCTTAGTCTAGTGGAAAAAAAAAAAATTAAAAATCACTTGGCTATTCTTGAATCATAAATTAGCAACTCTTTGTATATATGCGTTTGCTCTTGATGATGAACTGAAAGTCAGAACCAAGTCCTTTTGTTGACCTGGAAGCTGTATATCAGTGTTTCATGTCCTTTATAGTTAACACTTAACATCTATCTGGTTGCAGTACTTTGTTTCTTTTCACATGTTTGCTACTTCTACTTTGTGCTTTCAGGGAGTGTTGTGACTGAAGACATACCAACTAACGAAGCACTTCCTCAGCATCATCCTGACGATCATGTTAAAGTACTTTGTAGCCTCATGGTTCTCTTAATTGTTATACTGTATATTAGTCCGTTTGTGAATTGATAAGCTGTTCCAAATATTATTCACCAACACTCATTAGCATCATTTCAGGTCTCAACTGCATCTACCGGGAGTTCCAGGAGTAGGAATTCTGCTTCTGACTACACATACGATGATCGGAACAGAAGCAATAATGGGAATCACCACAGAAGCTCCAGCAGATCAACAAGAAATAGATATGATTCTGACAGGGAAGGGAGGACCACGAGAGAGAGATCCCGTGGTGAAGAAAGAGAACACAGTGGAGACTATGGACGAAAGAGAAGTAGATACGATAGGTCTATGAGGTCACCTAGTATGTCTACTTTCTTGATTTTATTACTTGGAGTGTCTGAATATTTTCTGACACTTGGGTTTTTGATAGAGCTCAAACATTTGAAAGTGTTTTGCCACCTTACGTTTTTACATTTTTACATCACGACTCGTATTGTTGCAGGCAGATCTGACTGGGACAATGGACGATGGGAATGGGAAGATACGCCACGTCGTGAAGGCCGCAGTTCGGGAAGCAGAGACCACCGTCATTGGCCATCCCCCAAGTTTGTTGGGGCATCTCCCGATGCAAGGCTTGTTTCCCCGTGGTTGGGTGGGCGTACTCCCTCTTATGGTAGGTGAAGTAACTAGGGTTAGTTATTTTAGGTGAATTTCGACTCATGACTAATTAGTATTTTGAATATTCTGAAGCTCCTGCATCTCCTTGGGACAGCTTTGCTCCTTCCCCCACTCCGATCCGAGCTTCTGGGTCCTCCGTTAGGTCTGTAGGTTCCCGATATGGTGGCAAGTCAAATAGGTTCAACACGTCTATGGATAAGCTGGAGGTATTAAGTCTCTTCAAAAACTCTTTTTATGTTGTTTTTTGTAACTTATATTCGAACGTTGGTGCCATTTTTATAAACCTGACAGATTTTTTCTTCTTTTTGTTCCCATTTGGCTGGTTCAAGTATGGAGAAAATCGCGTGGAAAAATTACCAGAAGACCAAGATCATGATCTATCAGAAAGTATGCGGTTAGAGATGGAGTACAAGGCTGATCTTGCCTGGTAATCATCTGATTATACTTCGTGATCAATAGCCAGTGGTTGTTGCTTTCATTAGATTTAGTAATTTAAAGAGAGAGATTTTTCTAAAGTGCTTATCGTACCCTGAAGAGAATGCTGATATATAATCTATTCAATAAATCTTTCAACCAAATATTTTCAAGGAGTACTGAAATTCAATTCGTTAAATTGAGACTGCAAATCATTGCAATGCTTAGTAATAAACCATTCTCCATGAGCTGGTTATGATATGTGGCATATTAGTAGTTACTCGGTATATGATGCCAAATGATTTATGCTGACCTTGTATCGAATTGTATATCTCCCTGTCACAGGTATGATCGAGAAGAAGATGGCAATGTGTATGGTGAGGATGGTTCGTCATCTTTTCTTGGTAATGAGGCATCTTTTCAGAAAAAGGAGGCTGAGCTGGCTAAGAAACTGGTACGAATCCACATGGCTCTAGTTTGAGATGGTGTAGTTAATTAGCTTGGGGCTAATTTCCATCTTAAGTATACTTTTTTATTAAGATTGTGAAAATTCTTCATTGAGTTCTTGTGTCTGCCAACTTTTCCAGTCCTTGTATATGCCACTGGAAATAACTGTTGCCGAATAGTGGATTCTATTTTGTATGAATTTACTCGTATGGATGCCAGTTTCAGAACTTTTCATTATGTCTTTACACTCTAGAACATGAAATGATAATACCCATGTCGAACTGCAGTTCCTTCTTTTAAGATTTTCTACACGTATGAACTTACGGTCTTGTGCCTGTGCGTTGTACTTCACTACTTACTGAATATGGTTCTGTCCCAAAACTGATGTCTTATTTCCCTCTATATTAATATCCATCTTTGATTACAGGTACGTAAAGATGGAAGCCAGATGACTCTTGCACAGAGCAAGAAATTATCACAGATGACTGCCGATAATGCTCAGTGGGAGGATAGACAACTGTTGAGATCGGGAGCTGTTAGAGGAACTGAAGTGCAGACCGAGTTTGATGACGAGGAAGAACGAAAAGTTATTCTTCTTGTACATGGTAAGTTGGTAACTCCCTTAATAGTCCTTTATACTGTTTGATGACCTGATTTGTGCCCATGTTAAAAAAAAAAAAGAAACGTTCTCACTCTGTTATATCAGATACAAAACCTCCTTTTCTCAATGGAAGGATTGTTTACACCAAGCAAGCCGAGCCAATTATGCCATTAAAAGACCCTACATCAGATATGGCCATAATAGCACGGAAAGGCTCGAATTTGGTTAGGGAAATCCATGAAAAACAGAGCATGAACAAGTCACGCCAACGTTTTTGGGAGCTCGCTGGTTCAAAGTTAGGTGAAATTCTTGGGGTCGAGAAAACTGCAGAACAGGTATCTGCTGCTTCCATAATTTGAATCAGTTTCTTGTGATGATGCTGTACTTTGTCGTAAATTTGAGTAGGAACGCATCTTAATATGTACCTTTTGCATTGATTTACTAGATTGATGCGGATACTGCTAAAGTGGGTGAAGAAGGTGAAGTTGATTTCAAAGAGGACGCAAAATTTGCGCAGCATTTAAAGAAGGATGAGGCAGTGAGCGATTTTGCTAAGTCGAAAACATTAGCCCAACAGCGGCAGTATCTGCCCATTTTCTCTGTACGAGAGGAGTTACTTCAGGTTTGCAACAATGTCTTTTTTATCCACGAATGGCTAACTTAGCGCAAGGTGACAGAAGATTTTATATTATGTTATTAGATGTCTGGTTATGTTTATTGACAAAGTAGGTGCATTATATACACCCCAATGATTCGGTTGAATGGCAATCATAATTATGTTTTTTTTTTTTTCGTCTCTCTCTCTTTTGTTATTCTTTCTCAACACAAATCGATATCTTTTCCTATTTGGCATAGTAAATAAATAATATTTCTTGTATCTCGCCTTATCCCTTACCATGTTACTGCATGTATTTGTTTTTCTGTTTACCTTTTTCTTTTTTACCAATTTGGTTGGTGGATGTATAAGAAAACACCTTGTTGAAATCATCTACATTTTCTGTCAACTGCATTGCTTCTGTTCTTTCTGAAAGAGGGTGCAAAGGAGTTATTCGAAATTGTTGTTGCTAATTTCACCCTTCTGAAATGTAGGTGATTCGTGAGAATCAGGTGGTGGTAGTAGTTGGTGAAACTGGTTCAGGGAAAACAACACAACTAACCCAGGTTTGTTTGAAGCCTATCATCTGTGTGTTTGCTGGACATTCTTTCTGCATTTTCTGCAAAATAAATAAATAAATAAATAAAATATTATTGTTCAGTAGTAGCGATTGTTGGTTCACTGATGTGCAATTGTTGGCAGTATCTTCATGAGGATGACTACACAAGCAATGGCATTGTTGGTTGCACTCAGCCACGTCGTGTAGCTGCCATGAGCGTTGCCAAAAGAGTCAGTGAGGAGATGGAAACTGAACTTGGCGATAAAGTTGGATATGCAATACGTTTCGAGGATGTCACTGGGCCTAACACTGTCATTAAGGTACAACTTTCTTCATTCAATCTATCTTTTAGCTTTTAGGTTTGCTCAAATATGCCCTTCTTTACTGTTTTTTCCTGATGGCTATTCGTGCAGCATACTTATGAGTTACGGCCATTCGTTAACGAAAAATTGCATATGTGGACATGTTCCGCAGAAACTACTTTTTTTAAGCTGTAATTCTTGTAGCTCTTGTAAAGTCGTCTAGAATTTTGAACAATTTGTTAATTGCTTATTCACCTTTCTTTTGCAGTACATGACTGATGGTGTGCTTCTGAGGGAGACTCTCAAAGATGCTGACCTGGAAAAATATCGGTACGTGTTTTTATAACCCGTGCATCAACGTCTGGACATGAATTTATCCTTTCTTACACATCTAAACTTGATTCAATCCTCATTCTTATTCATTCTTCAGGGTTGTTGTAATGGATGAAGCACACGAACGATCCCTTAGCACAGATGTTCTATTTGGCATCCTTAAGAAAGTCGTCGCCAGGCGTCGGGACTTCAAGCTTATCGTGACATCAGCTACCCTTAATGCCCAAAAATTCTCTGATTTCTTCGGGAGGTAATAAATAAATAATCCCTCCTTTCGGTTAGTTACAATGAAAAACAAAAAGTAAGTAATAAAATAAATAAATAAATAAATAAACATGGCTTTACTGATGTCTTATTATTTCTCCCTTTGTGTAGTGTACCCATATTCCACATCCCGGGACGAACTTTCCCGGTTCAGATCCTCTACAGCAAAACACCCTGCGAAGACTATGTAGAAGCCGCCGTTAAACAAGCCCTAACAATCCACATCACTAGCCCCCCTGGCGACATACTCATCTTCATGACGGGCCAAGACGAAATTGAGGCCACATGCTATGCCCTAGCTGAGCGAATGGAGCAGCACGCCACCAAGAAAGAAATCCCGAAGCTTTTAATCCTCCCCATATACTCCCAGCTCCCGGCTGATCTCCAAGCCAAGATCTTCCAGAAGGCCGAGGACGGGGCTCGAAAGTGCATCGTGGCCACAAACATTGCCGAGACTTCCCTCACCGTCGATGGAATTTTTTACGTAATCGACACGGGTTACGGCAAGATCAAAGTCTATAACCCGCGCATGGGCATGGATGCTCTCCAAGTTTTCCCCGTCAGTCGGGCTGCTGCAGAC